TACGTCGTGTGTGTGTGTGTGTGTGTGTGTGTGTGTGTGTGTGTGTGTGTGTGTGTGTGTGTGTGTGTGTGTGTGTGTGTGTGTGTGTGTGTGCGTGTGTGTCTGTCTGTAGAAACACAAGCCGTCATTCGCGCGCGCATTCAGCGAGACATCGTGCATCCAAATGTGCTCCTGCAAGGATGATGGGTGAATAGAATAGGTGCAGTCAAGTTCCCCCCCTCCGTCAGGGATGCTGGGGGGATAGTGTAGTAGCAGTGAAGCCTTAACCACGTCAAGGATGATGGGTGAATAGATGATATTAGAATAGGTGCAGTCAAGCTCTCCCCCCTCCCCATCATGGATGCTGGGGGGATAGAGTAGTAGCAGTGAAGCCGTCAGGGATGCTGGGGGGATAGAGTAGTAGCAGCAAAGCCGTCAGAGATGCTGGGTGGATAGAGTAGTAGCAGCGAAGCTCTAACCACGTCAAGGATGATGGGTGAATAGAATAGGTGCAGTCAAGCTCTCCCCCCCCCCGTCAGGGATGCTGAGTGGATAGAGTAGTAGCAGCGAAGCTCTAACCACGTCAAGGATGATGGGTGAATAGAATAGGTGCAGTCAAGCTCCCCCCCCCCGTCAGGGATGCTGGGGGATAGAGTAGTAGCAGGAAAGCCGTCAGGGATGCTAGGGGGATAGAGTAGTAGTAGCAAAGCCGTCAGGGATGCTGGGTGGATAGAGTAGGTGAAGTAAAACTCTCCCCCTGATTTTTTTTAACCTCAGCTTCTAAACACGCAAGCCACAGAGAGCATTGTTGATCGGTCTTTGGAAAGCGACGGTGAAATGAAACACATTGCAATACCCACTACGCTGATAGAACACAAGCATTGTTCAGCTGCCAGAATTCCTTTTACTTGTCATTTCAAAATGGGCTATAAATATATTATAGCTGTACATCATTACATCAATGGCCTTCGTCTGACTTTTTGCTGGAAAGACAAGGCATTTCGAAAAAGTCTGCTGCGATTCTGTGCTACACGGAATACGTACTCACTATGCGAAGTAGGATGCAAAGTGTGTTTTTCGTAAAAGTTGGCATAGTGTGTACGAGACTTTAAGTTGGCATGATAGTGTAAACAAGGCTCTGGCCTGACTTCGAAACGCTTCTGTGCGTGCGCACCCACAAGGCAATGCAATCAACGAATTACGAAACTAATCAACAGAAAATTAATCGACGAAATTCAACGGCGGAAAAAAAACGCGCGTGCGTCGAAAATAGTACCTTTTTCAGAATGTAGGGGGCGTCGAGGTTGAGTTTGCAGCGTCTCTCGACGACGTGCATCGCGCCGTCGTCGCTCTTGTATTCGTAGGTCGTCTCGCTGCCGACAAACACCGGAATCATCGGGCATGTCGGAAAGCGCTTCTCGTAAGCCTACAGAAAGAAGGCAGAGGTCATTGAAAATGCTGTTATGCGCAGCGACGTGAGAAGGCTGCGTTATGCGGGGTGGGTCAGTGTGCAGACAAACGCTGGCAACATCTTTGCGCGTATATCAGGGGGGTGAATAATGACAAATTTTGTCATTATTTCGTCAAATTTATTTATTAATTATGAGATAATTTATTATGATAAATTTTTCCATTATTCATCCCTCTATATATCGCATATAAGATCATTGCCTTTGCACGTAGAAGAAGTACGTACGGTCGGAAATGAATCTCACATGATGTATGACAATTCCGCAGATGTCATGGTAAATATATTATGTAAGATCAGAAAGAATATTGCACAGGTGTCGCGGTCAGGGTGACCTATACAAAACAAAATCACTGACCATGCACAGATGCTGGCTACAATATTCCACAGCTTCCAAGTCATTACACGTCACACCTTTCTATCACGTATCTTACTATAATTTGCCGAATGTTGTATGTATGTATGTATGTATGTTAATGAAAGGCTCCGTCAGTTTGGATCCAAATAGCGCCAAGTTCACACAAGAGATCGATGAGTACACGGGACGGGTTCTAAACTATACTCGGTTGAAAACGGTAAAAAATACTTAAAAAATAAAAAATAAAAATAAAAAAGGTAAACATTTGCCTGAAAATAGGGAGCGCTGTTTTGTTTTTGTTCTGTTTCTATTTCGTTTCGTTCTGTGTATCTGTGTCTGTGTGTCTGAGCTTTTTGTAAGCCCAATAATGTAAGTAGAAATAACCATGTAATACTAATAATGAAGTTAAACATTCAGTAGCTATTTGGGCATAGTTTCCCATATGAGATGTACAAGTTGAATTTCATCAGAGAAGATTTTTTTTTTGGAAGTCTGCAATGCTGTGTGGGTCCGGGTGTCGTGAACAGCGAGCTGTCACAAGCGGTCCGATCACAAGCACGTAATATTACGTCGTCCGCACAGAGTGCAAACATGCGTAGAAATAAGCGATCACAACCACGCAATATTACCTGGTCCGCACACAGTGGAAACATGCGAAGCACGTAATATTACGTGCTACGCAGCCAAGTGGTTAATCAGTCGCCCGACCTACCAGCCCATTCAGATCTATCTATATTCTAACTTTGAAGTCCGTATCATCAACCAGTACATAGCATACAATAAAACATTTGTGTGTGTGTGTGTGTGTGTGTGTGTGTGTGTGTGTGTGTGTCTGTCTGTGTGCGTGCGTCTGTCTGTATTTCACTGTGTAGGCCTACTTGCCAAACAAATAGTTAATGTGTTACGTGTAAGCATGACTGTACATGTATTTCTATTGACATCTCAACCATAAAAAAACAAACGTGCAACAACTAAACTCTCCATATAACACCTTACACATAACACTACGTACTGGTAACACATGCATCACAGACACTAAGCCCGCGCGTAGCGCGGGTTCCAGCTAGTATTACAAACGATGCAAATGATATACACGACACTAGAGGTTAGAGCAAATGCTCTGTAAACACAAGGTGCACAGCTTGCATTATATTACACATCGTGGTTCTCTACGCAGTAAGTCAAGTAAATTGGGTTATAAAGCAGGTCTAAGTAGCAGATCTTGTAGGACGCAACAGCTGTGGACATAACTGGGCCAGAATCTGTACATGTGAAATCCAAACACAAAATCTCACTCAGTGTTGCCCTTCTACTAAGCAAATCACTATCCAATGTTCGTTTACATGCGTACGTGACGTACGTCCACAGTAGCAGATATTCGGTTATTCATAAGTCAACACAATCGCGTGTGCATGCATGTGCGAGCTCGTAGCTATGGAAATTAATGCACGAATTCAGCACATAAAGTTATTAGTTCCTAGCGTGGAACGATTACGTTAGTGCCCACGATCAAATAAAACTGCATTATTGGCCTATACGAGGCGGCGACACACAATTTCACCGCCTGCACGCTCAAGGTATGTACTATAGATCAATTACACCATGGTTAGACTACAGAACTTCTACATAGAAGCGTTCAACACCTATAGTGACTTATGCAATCCAATTAGTAATCACACGCAAGTAGGCACACACACACACGCGCGCACACACGCACACGCACACTCATGCACGCACTCATGCACGCACGTACGCACACGCACGCACACACACACACACGCACGCACGCACGCACGCACGCACGCACGCACACACACACACACACACACACACACACACACGCATCAGTAGAGATTGCGCACTGCCAGTGCCAATTGCTCGTAGTTTGTGCACTTAGCCAACGCCTCAAGCTGTAGAGTGCCCGAAAGATGTTTGACGGGTGTGCACCACCAATATATTGACCACCCACGAACTTCTCATGTTGGTAACGATGACATCTACCATCGACAATACGCTGACGCAACTTGCAAGCTGTGAATTTTGTTCGGTGTGTGAATATATGTTGCAGTGAAGACGTACACATGTACAATAGCAGGGGCGTAGCTAGCTCTAGTACTATAGCCCTTCACCCGGCCCTTCTATCCTGCGGCAGAGCGAAGGGCTATAGTACTAGAGCTAGGGCGTAGCTAACCTGGTGGGCGGGCAAAACTACGTGCGGTTTTGTTTCCTCGCTAGTTGATCGTGGCATTTTGCCATCGACTGTTTAATAGTATCGATATTAATTTTAAGGGATACAACTGCACCCCCCCCCACCCCGCTATGGCTATGAATAGTCCAAATAGTGTAAGATACAACGGTCGAGCAAAATAACCTAGCAGAGAAGCAGGTATAGTGTTGCATGAGAAAGGTGTCCATGAACATTTACACCTATATATAACTGCCAGTCAAGGGAAACCCTATTCAGTATTCTTTATAGACACTAAGACAGATGTCTATTCTATAGAGGTAGTTTCACTGCATAAGTGCCACTCAAGGGGAATACCAAGTGTCCTTCATAGACATGTGTTTATTCCATAGAGAACTGGCATAGCCACTGATACAGGTCTGACTCTAGTACGTCACACACTGTAGCCAGAGCCGTAGTCTCTGGGGGGGGGGGGCAGCTGCCCCCCTAGATTTTGGAGCAAAATTTAAAAATAAGCTTAGCTAATAATCGTAAATAACCCTAGTAGAACGTGGTTCACACGTATCCGTGAAAGCTTTGTTTCAGACCCACCCCAACCACACTATGGACGTCGATCAAGAGCAGCGCCCATCTCTCATCATTACACAGTCGAGTCATTAAATTTTGCCCCCACCCCCTTAGGAATTTGCTCAGCCCACGGCCCTGGTAGCCCTACCAAGGCAGTATTGATAGTACCTTGAGTATTACTATAATAATTATATAATTCACTCACGATAACATGCTACTATTTCGATCTTCATGAGGATATGCTTCGATTGGAATTAACAGAGTGGAAAAGGTTAGCGCCATTAGCAGAATAACACGATAGATGCTCGAGTACACCATAGCTAATTTGTGTTTCTTTGTGAAGCAGTATAGAGAATTTTATCAAGTGCAAAACATGGAATTTTTCCACTGGCACCACTCACAGGTGACTGCTCGCTAGTCCGACGGCCCAATAGTCCGAAAGCCCACTAGTCCGAAAACCCACTAGTCCAAAAGCCCACTAGTCCGAAAACCCACTAGTCCGAAAGCCCACTAGTCCGAAAACCCACTAGTCCGAAAGCCCACTAGTCCGAAAACCCACAGGGGATGG